TCCAACTCTATTCACCTTTTCTCCAGGTGGTGACCGTGATGCCGATCATGATCACCAGATAGAGGAAGCCAAGCCCCGTACGAACACACATGTGCCACAGAGGAGGAGTCGCTGGAAGAAAAGAGAGCTTCAGAACCAGATCGTCATCCATCACCAGTTATTATCAATGTTCAGGCATCGGATCACATATGCACGCATGTCTGCATTCATCATTTCACTGTTACAATCAAGTTTAAATAATGGAATTGGGTTAATGTAACTGCAAGTTTGAATTTTTGCAAACATTTCGATCCGTCTCATCTTATTCATTAAGTTGCAGCTTTTGTTTTTGGGTTTCTCTGTTTCTTAATTGTCGTCCACAGTGTCTGTACCTGTTTCTGTCAGAGTCCATGATGGGAACGTTGTTACAGCTGCTGCTGCTGTTGGTCCCTTGTAACCTTCTGTGTGGAAATGTATATTTAAGGTAGGAGATGCAGTTGATGGCTAACTTAACACAGCGTTGAACTTATGCTCTTGGTATGGATGGAGTACTGAACAGGTGGAAGAGCTACAGAGAGACTCAAAACGACCACAAAGAGACTCAAAACATGTTTGTAGGGAAGACCTCTTTAACATGTCTGTGGCCAGGAGCCTGTTGTCTTCTACATGAGTAGATTATGAGACAAATGTCCACTGGGCACAGACACAAATAGGTGCAAGACACACTGACTTTATAGTTGTTTAACCTCTTTATGTTGTTGATTTGTGTCTCTTTGTAATTGTTACACATCTCTCTGTGGTTTAGGTCTCTTTATGATTGTTTCGGTCTCTTTGTAATTATTTTTTCTGTGGTTGGTGTTCCCCTTTTTGTAGTCGATTTGTGTCTCTTTGTCATTGTTTAGCGTGTCTTTTTAGTTGATTTGTGTCTCATGGTAGTCATTTTGCATCTCTTTGTTGTTGACATGTGTCTCTTTGTGGTTGTTTTACCCCTTTTCACAGCCATATTGAGTCTTTGTGTCTCTTTGTAGTTGCTCTGTCTCTATGTGGTCATTTGAGTCTCTACCTGTTTGGTTCGTGTCTCTTTGAGACATTTTTTAGGTGAAGGTCAGAGAGTCCTCGAACACTTTAATCCCATAGACATGTTCAGTAATCATCCATTCCTCTGTAATACGTCCATAACTCTAGGTTGAAGACATTTTTATTGTTCTTCATACTTTCTATGTATTTCTAGCTCTACAGATTTCTTACAACTTAAACTACTTGAACACAGAGCAGTTTCCTGTCCATGTCTGTTGTGTCTCCCTACCGGCAGTGGTAAACACACACATTGACAGTAGCCGGGTTTACACTGTTACATTAGAAATGCAGACTTCTGTTTCATAAACAGGACATTTGATTTGTTACGACACAATCTTTTGTAGCGTACATGAGTGAGATGTTACCTGGTGGGATCACCGTCAGCTCCACAGCTGCTTCACTGTTACAGAAGTATATTCCAGAGTCTGAGACGGTAACTTTGCGAATGTGCAGAGACTTATCTGCCTCTGAACTGTATCGTTTGTATGGGTAACGAATGTGTCTTATGTCCGTGTCAACTCCAACTGTCAGAATGTCAACTTTGCGTCCATTACTCTCTCTGCTCCACGTCACGATGCCCACAGAGTGAGGACAACGTAGAGAGACTGAGGTCTTTACCTCGACTCTTTCATGGATTATTTCTGCAAAACAAACAAAATTTACAATAAATAAGAAAATTCCTATTTAACTGTCACATGCAGTGACTGTATGTTGAATATTGTTAATTGGTGTTTCTGCCTTATAGGTCAACTATACAAGACCATATATGTTTATATATATATATGTATATAGATAGATAGATAGATATGTACTTTATTCATCCCCAGGTGGAAATTTGTATGTTGTATGTACAACAAATGTTGTATGTTTGTATGTTATATATTTTAGTGCAGACTACATGTACTTTATGAATTATTAGATGGATACTCTATTTGTCCTGGGGTGAAATTGGTTCCTTATTATTATTATTATTATTAGCTTGATTATGAATCTATTAAATAAAGTTGAGTTTCAGAATAAAAGCCAGTGGAAGAAATGTAACCAATAAATAATGTTGAAGATAAACTGATTAAAGTCCTTACCTGCAGTGGCGTTCCAGCCCAGCACTAAGGCTAGCAGGCAGCTGCAGATATTCATCCTCCTCTTGACTGAAGTGATTCAGTATCTTCAGTTACTTCCTCTTTTTAAGACGAGGATAGGAACTTTGTGGTTTAGTGTTTCTAAAAAAAACAAAGACCTTTGACACACATCTTTTTATAGTCGATGAGCACTGATGTTTTTCATGTAAACATATGAGTTCATGCGTTAACAAATGCTGTTTTAGTCCAACATGAGTCACATAAAACCGAGTTTATACACTCACGGTAAAGAGGGGGGGGTGTATGCCTTCGTCATTCACCGTGCTCATACTCTGCTGCATCCTCTTCACTCTGAAGTCGAGATCTTCTGACTATTTAAGGGTATTTTATTGTCATTGTACAACAGGATTTCACAGTGAAATGCGAATTGCAGTCCCATTTAGCTCCCAAACTACACATAAAAATATACACATCAGCCTCCTCCAGACCTTGAAGCTGCTCTCCCTCCTGACTGGTCCAGAGTTCCTCCTGTTCCTCTTTAATGTGTGGGGGCTCTGGGTCCTCCTGTTCCTCTTTAATGTGTGGGGGCTCTGGGTCCTCCTGGTCCAGACTGGAGCTCCACTCCTGCTGCTCAGGGGGAACCTCTTCTTTAACCACCAACAGCTGCTGGGCAACGGATCACATGACTTGGTTCCGTTTGTATCACGGTTTTGATTCAGCGATTGGATCAACAGAATAAATAGGACAGCAAATGTAACTTTTAGAGATGCCCCGATCACAAAAAAGACAATATCATATGTGGAGGACAGAAGACGAATTAAGGAGTCTAACAGTCAGAGGAAAGAAGCTGTTCTGAAGTCTGATGGTTCATCAGCTGATTCTTCTGTATCTCTTTCTAGACGGCAGCAGGTGAACAGCTTGTGTCTGGGTGGGTTTTGTATTTGAATATCCCCTTATAGCACTTTGCAGGCACCTCATGTCACCAATATCACTGATGCTCAGTAGATGGTACCAATGAGGTTCTGGGTGGTTTTAATCACCCGCTGTAGAGCCCTCCTGGCCTGTGCCGTACGCATCCCATAACAGTTTGTAATGTTTCCAGTCAGGAGGATTTCTATTGTTTCTCCGTAATAGTTAACAGGACCTTGGCACAGGAAAATGTGGTTCTTAGGTTCCATAAGAAATGCAGCGTTTGTGAGCTTTCTTCACCAGGATGGAGATGTGAGAGGACCATGTCGGGTTGTTTGTGATGCTGATTCCCAGGAACTTAAAACTCTTCTCTCGCTCCACCTCAGCTCCATTGATGTAGACACCGTTGTGAGTCTTCACCTCCTTTATTCTTAAATCAACAATCCGCTCCTTGGTTTTACTGACGTTGAGCAGCAGGTTGTTCTCTGAGCACCAGTCTGAAGATGTCCTCTCTATATGAAGTCTCGTTGTTTGTAATCCGGCCGATGACATCAGAGTTCTCTTATTTCTTATTTCATTCACAGTTTACAGCGTGTAGGTAAATGTTTTGCTCCTTTATTGTTTTCTTCTTCCATTCTGTTTTTAATACAAAAAAGAGATTGTTAGAAAACGTATTTTCAGTTGAAAGTGTTAGCCGCCTGTATGTCTGTTGGTAGCTGTCAAATGAGTCCAAAGCTCTGCTCTCATAGATCCTACCTCGTTACAAAACAACACAAAGGCTTTTCCTATTTGAGGAGACTCACTGTCACTGAGTGAATGTTTACTCAAGTGGCAGCCGGGCAGATACACTTTCTTTTGGGTTAGGGTTAGTTATTAATGTAAATATAGCAATTTTGCATTTTCTTTTTCCTCTGAAAGAAGAAGAATAAGTGGCATAGTAAATATAAAGTGTTCAACTTCAGTTTTGTCATTTTAAATTATAATATATTTTAAGATATCATTTGAATTTTGGATGCTGGACTTTGAGTCAAACCACAACTATATGCTTATGCTCCCATATTTGTGTATGTGGTTTTATTCACATCCTGTGCTAATCGGTTGATCTTTTACAGCGTTGGTGTTTTTAACAGTAAGTAGCCGGAGCTACAGATGACGGTGACAAATTCACCATCTGATACTTACTTTATATATACTTTATTATTTCAGAGGTTTATTTTCATTTAATACACTTAAAATAATGCATTAAAAGCAGTTAATTCTAAATAAACAGAGTGGCCGGTTTATTTAATTTAGGAAACATGTCGTTTTTTTAATGTACATTTTGGAAAACGCTCTCATGTGCCTTCAACAATAAAATCAGATTACCTGCCCTAAGAACTATAAACTGCATGTTTTTAGCTAATTAGCATAAATAAATGAGTGTGTTTTTATTGCATCAGCTGCACTGCTGAAAGAAGAGGAAGAGATGTTCCATCATGTCCTGTGCGCCCCTCAGTGGAGTTATTTAATAACTTCTTCTTCCCACACCTGAGACATTAAGATTAAAAACAATAGTCATATTACATTTTTTTATATTTCGCGTGTAATTTGACATAATGCAATTTTACTTTCACAGTGCTGGAATCAAACAAAACTCTTGATTTGCGCTGATGAACTGTGATTGGCTAATGGGCATGTCAATTCAACGCGGGGGCGGGGCGGAGCCTGGAATTCCTTGACGTCTATTGGTTCATTGTACCTGTCCATCAAAACGCGCTGATGCGATTGGGCCAAATCACCTTTAAAACGGGTTTCTCATCAACACGCTCCAATCGCACTCTATGAATCATCCCATTGGTTCTTTGTGACGTCAATCACGCCCTTTCCTCTTTTCTCATTGGCTGCACTGTTTCAAATGGGCGGAGACTTTCCCCTGAGAAGTGCGTTTCCTTCTCTGTCATATGCGAAGCTAGCTGTTAGTCTGTCGCTATCTGCAGCAGCACCACAACACAACGCCTCTGTGATTATTACTTATTATTATTAATATACTATGAGTACGGACCTAATATCTGATCTGGACACGCGCTTCTTCGCTGATAACCTCCTGACAAGCGAAGACTGGGGTGAGTTCACGCTTTAAGCCTTTAAAACGGTAAATAAACGTGTATTTTTAAACGATGCTAAGCTAACGGATGCTCATCCTGAACCAGCAGCCGTTGAAACGAAGCTGAGGCCTTTAAAACTATTAAATATCCTCCTTTTAAAATCTCCTTTATTCACATTAAAGGTTTTATATGATAAAGAAGGTGAATTATGCAGTGTGTGTGTGTGTGTGTGTGTGTGTGTGTGTGTGTGTGTGTGTGTGCGCACACTTCCTCAGTCAGAGGACCCGGATGTGTCAGATTATCTCTGTGGGTTGAAGCGTGATATCACACGCTTCTTCTTCTTTTTCTCTTTGTAAAACATGTTGTTCTCTTAATGTTAACGTGTTTCTAGTTTAAACTCTCGTCATTACACAATCAGTGTAATATGGATCATAAGAGGTGTTATTATGGGCTGCATCTTAAAGTAAATGTTGTAGTTTTAACCAATTTACTACAAGTTTTAATCTACCTGGTATGAACCATATGGTGTGTACTAGTACGCGTATGTCAATGAGATATGCAGTTAAGCATCCAACCAGAAGTACACACAGTATAATATAGCATATAAATACACTATATAAACTGTGTTAGCAGTGTAAACTGTGTGTATAAGTACGCTTTATATGAAATTATTGTAATACAGCAGCAGGTTTTTTTTTTTTTAGGCATGACAAATAAATTGAATAAACTGTTTTGGACAAAATAAGACATTTATATTTAGTTGTTTTAGTACAGTCAATAATGTTAAATCTGGTATGTTTAATCTACTTTAAAGACGTCACTTTGGTGATTTCTTCTGTTTTTATTGACGTGTTCTAAACCAAACAGTGAATTGATTATTGGAGGAAATAATTGCTCATGAAAGTTGTTCGCAACTTCACTTGTTAGAGGATCTGAAGCCAAACTCTGACATTTAACGTGTCTGTTTATTAGTTTTATTTATTTCTTGAGATGTTAAAGACGTGTTTTCTAAATCTGCCACTGATGTGGTTTGAATCTGACAGCATTGTGGGGTCTTTTCCCTTCCTGTGCATATTAATACATTTGATAATATTTACATTGTTCTCTCCTCAGATGCCTGTCTGTACCAGTGTGAGAGCATGGAGGAGGGAGAGGACGCCGACTTCAGCCGGGGGCCGAAATACGAGCCGACGGTACGAAGACAAAGAAAATATGTTTCTGGTTTATTGTTTTTAACACAAACACTCCGTCAGCTTCACATGTTCACACATTAATAATAATACTTAGTTATACTCTAAAAGAGCTCACACTTCAGATTCAGTTTTGTTGTAACAGCTGGTCTCAAAGGATCCAGACTGTTTGTTTTAATCACCACCGTCACAAAAACACATTCCAACAGCTCTGAAGTCAGTGTGAACAGTTAAAGACATCAGAATATTATAATTTTACTGTTTTATAGTCGTCTATTTTGGTTATATACATAAAAACGCATCATTCAAATGATTAAGAAATTAAAGATTGTATTTTTTTGTGAAAACAGCTCATAATTCATCTCTAATATCTATTTTATATTTATGTGAAAACATCTTCAAACAACTGGATTTTAACCAAAACTACATTTTACAGATGACATGTGAACACATCATAACGTTATAATGTACCTTCAGCCAGTACTCGTGTTCACTGAGCAGAGCCTGAAGGCATCATAATGTAACTGAAGTGAACCTCCGTTGGTTAGCCGTTAGCGGTGCTGCTAACGTTACTATTGGTTGTTTACAATGAAACATCAGAGATCAGAGACTAGAAACGCATGTTCTACTGAGTGTTGGAGGAGAACCATCGTCAGTAAAACTTTATTTCCCTCTGACGGTTAAACTGTTTAATTTATGAGCGTTTCACACGGAGGTGAATCTGTTCAGATCATTATTCTAATAGACTCTAGAAACTTTAGTCACAACAGCGACTGTGTGTTTCTTTATCCAACATATAGGAGGTCTGTGTTCTTCTTTATTTTAACAAAATGTTGAATCATTTATTAACAAAACAGCATCTTTCATTCACGTTGTGTAAATCAGTCTTTTAACCCTCAAGTCAGTTCAGATGATGTTCATTTAATGTTTGTCAGTTAGTTGAGTGACACATGCACACACATACACATACACACACGCTCACACACACACCACACACACCTACACACACGCACACCTATACACACCTACACACACGCACACCTATACACACCTACACACACGCACACCTATACACACCTATATACACACACACTGACTAATCCACCACCTTTCCCCCCCCCCTCACAGTTCGACAACGACCTCGTGCTCACCCTCGATCCTGACAACCCCACGTCGCCGTGGCAACACCTCGACGACAACCTTCTCACAGGTACGAACCGACCAACAGGAAACTAAAAATACCTGAGGTCAGCGTTTAGCTGTCACGCCGCAGACGTCCTCAGAGACGCTTCGTCCTCTAACAGCTGTTACATGTGGACACAACGTTGGTTGAGATTAAAAAGCAGCATCAGTCCTCCAATAATACTTCTTATAAAGATACATTATATATATTATATATTTATACATGTGGTTCAATGGAGTCATAAAATAATGAATTAATGTCAGCAAATCTCATGAAAAGACCCAAACCGTCAATGTGATGTCGTCTCTCTACAGTCTGACTTCCTGTCATGTGACTCTCAGCTCAAAGCTTATTGGTTCATTCTGAAGTCATCTTCAAATACACAGATGATAGTTTCATCTTTTAAAGGCGCAGTAATCCCTTTCGTGTTCTCATTCAGAGGGTTTTGGTTTCAGTTTTTCTTGCAGACATCAGTGAAGTTCTTCAGAAACAAAGTTATTTAAGTCTCTTAACTTCATGAAGGTTTATATGGTTTTATGCACTTTATGAATTGTTTTATGACACTTTTTATTGTTAATATTAATCCTTTAAAAACCTAATTTTAAAACCTCGTCTTGATGTTTCTGTCTTCCTGCTTTTGTCTCTGAAGGAGAAACTCCTGTGATCAAAAGTGAAATGACCATCACTCAACCGTTACCTGTGGAAATGTGTAAGTTCTCCAGTTCAGTTTCCACGCACGCACACACACACACGTATTTTACTGGTTTGTGTGTTTCTAGTGTTCAAGGTGAAAGCCGAGCCTCCTTCTCCTGCTTCCTCACTCGGGTCCGACTGCTCTTCTTTGGCACCAGACCCACAGGTGTGTTTCAAAATAAAATACACTATATATGTGTTTGTTTAGTTTTAATAACGTATGAAGGTGAGTGTGATTCATGCACAATATGAAAAGCATTCAAGATATTTGCAGCTGTATTTCTTTGTTCTTCCTCATGGTTTTTCACATTAAAAGCCTTCCTATAACTGGGAAGACTTTTAGTGTGAAAATACTGGATAACATGTTGAGTTTAGTTCTTACATCGATGATGGAATTAGTGCGGTGGAAATAAACATAGTATACCGAATTTATCAAGACAAAAATAAAACACGGAGGAGCTTTTAATTTGGCGTTAATTTAAGGATATCGAATAAAATAAGCCTTCAAAATAAAGTCCTGATTATTAAGCTGTTACAGCTATTTGAGAATTTGTTTTCCCAAAATGTCAAAGTAGTTATGAGTTACATATTAACATTCACACGACGACGATGATGATGATGATGATCCAGATCACGGTGAAAGGTGAAAACCCTCCGACTCCTCCGTACATGTACGGAGACGTTCTGTCTCCTCCGCTGGGCTCCATGGAGATCACCGTGGCAACGTCAGCCGTACCCACCCGACAGACGCAGACGAGGTTACCGACGATGACGCAGATCCCGGCAGTCGTCGGTGGACGACCGACGCAGACCGCCGGTGGGTTCGGATGACGACGTCGTGTTCGTGGAATGAAATCATTTCACAAAGCAGGTTAAAATGACTCTAAAGTGTCGTTTCCGTCTCCTGAAGTTCTTCCGGCTCCGGTCACGCTGAAGACCTCCATCCTGAGCACCAAGACCCCCATCCAGCCCAGACCGGTCTGTGTCACCACCATCCCCGTCACACAGACCTCCACACCGGCCAAGACCCTCATCCTGCAGGGCCTCCCCTCCATGGACCAGAGCAGACCTGGTGAAGAGACTTTGTGCTTGATGTCTGAATTCATTTCAATTGTTTAAAGACTCCGAGCACTGATGACCCGTCTCTCTACTGTCCCTCCTCCTCCTCCTCTTCCTCATCCTCATCCTTTTATCTGTAAAATTCTTCTCTCCTCCGGTCTATTCCATCCCTTATTCCTCTTTACCCTTTCTCCCTCTCCTCTTCCTCCTCTTCCTCCTCCAGTGGTCTTGTCTCAGTCGGTGTGTCTCGGTTCGTCTCCGACCATAGTAAAGATGGAGCCTGTATCTCCCAGCATTCCTCAGCACTGCTCCAGCCCCACGGCTCCGCCCACCAGCAAACCCATCGTCCCGGCGACAACGGCATTACCCGGCAACAACGACATCGACGTGAGTAGAACCTGGAAAACAACGACGACGTGCACCGTCAGACATGTTGGTTGTTTGCTTTTACAAAGCAGGAGTTATGGTCTGGATGGGCTCCTGGAGGAGTAACAGTTAGCGTCACGAGGCTCAATAGCATGAAGCATGTTTATCACTCAGAGAAGGTCTCGTATCACGGCTATAAATAGACCTTCAGCCCTGTTTGAATCAGTAGGGAACAGCTAAACACTGCAGGGGGAGTTTGTAGCGCGTGTGCTGCTGTTGGTTTCCATGCTAAGCTAGTTTAGCATAGCGTGTAGAATGTTGTTCTTCCGTGATGGGCGTGTCAGACAGCACGTTATCTCGAGCCTCGTACCCAACGGTTCAATACGTGTATCGTTGCACCCCTACTATTACTATCAGTGTAGTTTGGTCCAATCCTGTCGAGCCAGACAGCTCTGAAACAGAGCGGTTTGGTAACATCAGACCGACTCCTCTTATAGAAGCTTATATAAGAAAGAATCTGATATATCTGATGATGTCATTCACCTGTTGAACCTTTTGTTTTCTCTCCTCTTCCTGTCTTTGTATCCTCCTCATCATCATCCTCCTTCTGTCTGTAAAACTCTACTGTCCTCCGGGCTATTCCCATCCCTTATTCCTCTTTATCTTTTCTCCTCCTCTTCCTCCTCCTCCTCCCGGTGCAGATGAAGGTGATGAAGCGGCAGCAGCGGATGATAAAGAACCGGGAGTCGGCCTGCCAGTCGAGGAAGAAGAAGAAGGAGTACCTGCAGAACCTGGAGGCTCAGCTCAGAGAGGCGCAGCAGGAGAACGAACGCCTCCGCCGGGAGAACCAGGCGCTGAGGGAGAGACTGGCCGGGAAAGAGGTGAGAGAGAGAGGAGGGAGGTGAGGCAGAGGAGGGGAGAGACTGGCCCGGGAGAGAGGTGAGGGGTGAGGGAGAGGAGGTGACTCTTTATCTTCTTCATCTTCTTTGTCTCCTTCTTAAACAATCGTCTGCTCTCCAGATGTGTGAAGTCGTGACTTCATGGGCTCCATAAAAAATGATGCATAATAACGTTAAATATCGTACAAGCTTCCTCTGCTCCTCCTCTTCCTCCTCAGTTTATTTTAAGGCCTCATCAGTATCCTTCAATGTTACGTGCATCTCTATCTCAGCTGTCATTGATGAAGCTGAGCAGGTTGATGTTAAAAACAAAGAAAAAGGTAGAAAACAACATGAGAAATATCTTATTAATGAGCATATACAAACACATGTGAGCGCCGTGACCCTAGACAATCAGGTGAACCACAACATATAACGTGACAGTAAACATACTAACTTCCATGAACATTTCCAAAGATTAAAGAACTATTTTCTTAGTATAAAGACGAGTCTTGGAAAAACCCGGAAAGCCGTTTCTGAGCAACCTGCAGAACTTGCAGAGCAGAAACGTTTGTTTCCTGGAGAAGAGAAAACAATCCTCACTGAACACGCACACACCTGAACACTCGAGCTCATTCTGCAGCAGCACTGAACTCTGGTCAGCACTGAACTCACAGAAAGTGACTATTGTGTCCTTTTGAAGTCGTCACGACTCATCATCCTTAATCAGGTCTAACTTCCTCTAGTTCATCTCACTTCTATAGTCACAGACCTCAACACTCAATGTTTTACTGTTTAGTCAGTGATTCAGATACGACGCAGTTAACCGTCAGATTAATCATGAAGATCTATTTTTTACTATGTTAAAGGCAACCCTCACTGCTTCACCCTGACTTTAATGAGTTCATGTTCATCTTCATGCAGCAGGGTGATCAGGTTTCAGGTGGTTTTATTGTTGGCCCATCATTCCAACGGTTAATCGGTGTCCTAGAAGTTAAATCAGGAGGACGTCTCACTACTCGGTGTTCTAGTGTGTGGAAAGAAGAAAACACTCCTGCTGACTCAGCAGGTTTACAGTTCAGCTGAACCTCGGTTAACAACAAACAGGTTGAACACGAGGAAATACGTCTTCAGAGAGACGAAGATCGAGTCTGAACTTCACAACCCTAAAACACCTTAAACAGAGAAACCTGTAAAACCTGAAACTAATATGCAAATGATGAATATTTCTTCATTCTTCTTGAGTTGAATGCAGACGCAAGAACAGTGTAGTTGTGAAGTAAAGAGTTCTAACTTTCTTTCTCCCTGCATAATGTCCAGGTTCATTGTTTGTTTATTCGTTATGAGCTTCTCTTCTGTGTCTCAGGGCAGCGACTCAGCAAGCAACAAGAGGGCCGTGTGTGTCATGGCCGTCCTGCTGTTCATGACCTTCAGCTTCGGACCCGTCAGGTAACCCAACACTTTGACCAAAATCCTAAACCTGCTGACTCGCTGACGGACTCACTTAGTCTGTGAGGCTTTAGTTCTGTCAACTCGAGTGTTTGAGTGTCTCTCTGACATTTTGATCCTTCCTGAACCCTTTCCTTAAGTCAGCATTAGATGCAGACTTTGCCTGAGGGAATTACCCACAATTCATTGCAATGTGACGTTAAACACGCGGTAACCAGAGGACGCATGGAGACGTAAACAAAGAGGACGACTCACGTGTGTTCAGCCCGTCATATTAAAGTTACTCAGAAACATTAAGGGTTAAAGATGGAACAAAAGACACATGAAATCAAAGATTATTTATTTATTTATTCATCAAATGTTAGATTTAGTTATTGAAGCTGATAAATAGATTATATGAAATATGTTTCATCACGTTTAACTTTGTTGTGCTCTTTTTAAATAAGGAGAACTTACTTTCCTCAGTGAACGGATACGAACCGTAAAGTGACTGAAAACATTCTGAGTTAATGAACTAAAACGTTCATAAATATCCAGAATCCTGGAGCGTGTTTAAATCAGAAAAAGGTTCTTAATAAACAATAAGTTGTGTCTGAGCTGACTTCTTCTGTCCCGCAGCATCTCTGACAGGAAGCTCTCGGGCCTCCAGGACGGCGTGGTGACGTACACGGGACGCCGGCTGCTGGAGATCGAACAGCAACAACAACAAAAACAACAACAGCCTCCGAGCAGAGTGGAGGACAGAACGGAGACGGAGGAGGACGCAGGAGACGAGGCTGCAGAGTCTTATCAGTTCAGGTGAGGAGAGTCCGACAGAGTAACGGTGGAGTTTCACTGAGTGATTCATTTCACATCATAGTTATATTACCTTCTTTAGACGTGTTTATATCTCCACCGTTGGTTCACTCACAGTGTTCACACCTTCAGCTGACGCTCAAACTAATCACCATGTTTTCATTAGAGAACCAGATTTCATCATTTATTAAAACAAATAATTCATTAACTGAGTAAAAAGTGCAAAAAGTTAGGAATGTAATAATACGGGAGGAAATAAGGAAGGAGTGATTAAAAGAAGGAAAGACGAGGAAAGGAAAGACAGATATTGAAGAAAGGAAAGATGGGAAAGGAGGGAGTGAGGAAAGGAAAGATGGGAGGAGAGGAAAAAGAGAAATATGTGAGGAAACAAACTGCTGTGAGCTCACACGTCAGTAGATGATCTTTTGTCTTTCTTTTCTTCCTATCCCCCCCTTCCATCTTTCCTTATTTCCTTTCCTCCTCAGGAACCTGAGCGACGTGTTCGGTGACATGAAGGATCTGGTTCTTCAGGACATCGATCGTTACTTCAGCTCTTCAGACTGCAGACAGTTCAACCGCTCAGAGTCTCTCAGGTCAGTCACACATCTTTAATACATATTAATATATATTAACGCATGTATTAATATATGTTTATATTAGTACTTGGCAACGATTACAATTTTTAATCGCATGTATTTTTTGCGATTAATTGAGATTAATCTCATTGTTATGGCAAAGTTCAATAATGAATTCAAAAGTAGTGTATTGTGCACTTTTATTTTGAAAGTACTGCTATATGAACTAAAGGTCAATAACATTTGGTTTGTAAACACTTAAAACGCATCAGGTGTTTTTTAATAGCAGTGTTCTCTTCACACAGCAGCAGTTCTATCTCTTCACTATCTGTGCTCAGTGTGTGACTGTATATGAAACGTTCCACTGCTGTGCAACAGGAATAACATGTTTCAGCACGTTTCATCTACATGTCTTCATGACAGTCAGAGCATGTGAATGCAGCTCTACTGTTCATCAACATAATGCTGTAACTCAGAGGTGATGATGGTTACCCAGCAATCAAAGAATAAAGACACTTTACCCACAATTTAGGTGTATTTTCCCTTTAACTCACGAGATGCAGGTAGCATGTTTTATACTTAATGTGAATATAATTCATACTTTGTTGGCATCTTATTCTGAAAACCGGATGTTCGTCTGAAGAAACCGGATGTTGTCTCACGTTAATCTTTCCGCTAACTTTCAAAATCCTTCGCTCGCTCCCGATCTGTGCCATTTAAATGCGTTTACCGTGAATGTCAGCATAAAGGTGCACTAACGTGTAAGTGTCTGCTGAGTTGACCACGGAGATCTGAGTGTCTGCTGACTTTACCGCAGCGATGTCCAGTAGTCTCCATTCCTCCACCGCTGCCAGTGAGCAACGGACTTTCAAAATAAAAATAAAAATTAAAAAATGTGTTAACGCGCTATAAAATAATTTTCGGCGTTAATTAATTAATGCGTTAACGCGATAATAACGCGTTAACTTGCCCAGTACTAATAAATATATATTAACACATGTATTAATATATATTTATATGAGTGTTTGTCCTCCTCTGGTCCTTCTTCATCTCCTCCTCATCCTCCTGCTTCTCTTCATATAACAAACACATTTCTGATTTATCAGACTGAATGTAAACAAATTAATTAGGTTTTTCTTCATCCCTTTATCCCCTCTTCCTTCCCATCCTTCTTTCAATCCTTTATCCCTTCTTTCCTTTCTCCCTTCATTCTTTCGATTCTTCCTTCTTTAAATCCATGTCTTTCATCTCTTCATTCCTTTCTCTCTCCCTTCTTTCCTTCTCCCTTCCTTATTCCCTCCCTTCTTTCTTTCCTTTGTCCAGTCTTCCTTCCCTTCCTTCTTTCAATCCTTCATTCTTTCTTACCTTTCTCCCCTCCTTCTTATATCCTTCCCTCTTTCCTTTCTCTCATCTCCCCTTTTCCATTCTTTCCTTCCTTCTTTACTTCCTTCTTTCCTTTCTACCCTCTGTCTGTTTCTTGGTTTTTAGATGTTGTGTAAACTTTGTCACACTGGATACAGGAAGTCGCATCACATTTTCCTCTCAGTTTAAAGTCTCTTTTCTTTTCTCCTCTTGTTTGACAGACTAGCAGACGAGTTGAGAGGTTGGGTTCAACGACACCAGATCGACAGGAAGAAGTCTGGAGGAAAACCCAAAGTCGCCAAGAAAGCCAAGATCGCCCAGGTTCAGTAGAAACCCTCCTCTTCTTCTGCTTCTGCCTCTTCTTCTTCATCTTGTTCTTCTTAAGGCTACTTCTTCTTCTTCTTCTTGTTAATGCTTCTTCATCTTCTTCTTCTTCTTCTTCTTCTTTATATTGATTGTTCTTCCATCTCGTTGTGTTCGTTGCAGAAAGCTCAGCTGAGGAAGACGAACTTCTCCAGATATCTCCCGATCCAGGCTCACCGCTCCATAGAAAGGTTCAGTTCCTCACAAACGTTTATGAGACGAGATGTTTCTCTAGTTTCTCCTGTGAGGAGTTCATTCAGGCTGTTTAAATGCAAAGCTTTATGAAACTGAGAATATATTCATACACTTTACATACTGACAGTACACCAGTGAGTTTCTGTCAGCTGGGTGAAGACAAGAAAACTGGTTTTATTATAAAATATAAATGAGCTAATAACTGATATTTAATTGTTTTATTAATGATGAGAACAAGAACTACAGCTGATAGTAACATAAAAATATCCCTCAACATTTTCACGTCTGAATATTTTACCAACATGACTAATATTTCAGTCGACGAAACGATTTCTTTGAGTCTTTTATTTTGTAGTAAGACTCAATAACGACCCTGAACTTCCTATTCCTGTCTGCAGTCAGCTGCAGGTGCTTCCTGGTCCTGAGGTCACTTACAGCGACTTCCTGGACGCCATCGACCGCAGAGAGGACACGTTCTACGTCGTCTCCTTCAGACGGGTACGACGCAAGATAAAACACTGAAGGGATTCACTGTAATGTGATACCTTTACAACATTAAATATGCAGACATTCACAGTTCATCTGTTGGTTTTCTTTAGATTCATCTTAATAAAGGTGGTTTTGTTTGAAAATGACGGCTCCGCCCTGTAGTCTAATGAGTAACTAAACTCCTAAACCACTTTCTACCAGCTGAACACTCATGTTTATGTGTTTGTAGTCATGTTGATGGATTCAAAGCTGGTCCGTGTCTCTCTACAGGATCACCTGTTGCTGCCGGCCATCAGCCACAACAAAACCAGCCGACCTAAGATGTCTCTGGTGATGCCGGCCATGTCTGTGAACGGTGAGTCTTAACAGCAACCTGTTGTAATGAGTCATGAGAGAAGACTCCTGGATAGATGAAACATGGTGGTCAGAACTTAAATAAATAGGAAAATTACATTAAAAATAACCTCATAAATTGTCTTGTCTTTCTCCCTCTCTTTCTCCTCACCCCTTCTTTCCTTCACTTTTACCCCCCCCCCCCCAGAGAGCCTCTATAACTCCTCTCATGGCTACGAGATGATGATGCAGGTCGACTGTGAGGTCATGGACACCCGCATCGTCCCCATCAAGTCCTCCGCCGTCCCGCCGTCTCTCCGCGACCCGCCTCCGCCTCCCCCCTCCTCCCCCCACCACCACCACGGGAACCACACCTCGCTGCGAGGGCGCCACCACCACCACCACTCATCTCAGAGGCAACCTTTACCCGCCCGCCGACGGACAGACGAATATCTAATCAGCCAATCAGAAGGGGTCTGAGGGAAGGTTAAAGGTTTCACGTTGAGTCTTTAAAAAGCATCTTCTTCATCATCGACAGGTAACACTCGCACATCTCTGATCTCTGGAAGAGATTCCTGCAGTTTTTCTGGAAACCGGAAAAGTCGAGAGAATCGTCCACAAAACGCCCGCAGGACGATTTAAATCACTAATTCAAAATGGCCGATAGAAACTCGACTCTCTGTGGAAGATAATATTCTTATATATATATATATATATATATATATATATATATATATATTAAAAAAAAGAATATATTTGTAGACGTCGGGTGCAGACCCGGCAGCACAACGCACTTAGAAAATAATCCTGCGTTTTAATATTTAATTGTGAAAGTGTACAGTTTGAATGACGCGTGGAGGACAGGAAGTGGCTGTGATTGGTCCAGCAGACAGGTGGCCCTGAAGAGCTGCACAGTCACACCTTTAGAAACCTAAACACTCACCTGTTGATCAGCAATAAACCCGTTTGTATTAAAGTCGTCACTGTGCAGCTCCAGCAGGACGGACGTGAGGTCACTTCCTGTTTTCCTCGACACTACTGATGGTTTCTGAGGAGTTAACGTTTGTATATTTTTGTCGTCGTGACTCTCGCTTTTGTCGGTTTTTGCTGCGTGAAGCCGGATCTTAATGCTGGAAGAACATGTATGTGGAGGACGAGAGAGAGTTCCAATATTCATCTTTATTATTGATTAATGTGACGGTTTGTAAACTCAACATGGAGGCAACGCTTCTATCCATAGATCAGCGGTTAGCTGCTGTTGGTCCGACAGCTGAAACGTGTTGAGCTGCTGTTTGTAGCTTCAGCTCACACTATCATTTTATTATTTCTATTTGTATCATGCTAAAGGTGAAAGAAAGCGCTCGATTGATTTATCAGTTCATTGTTTGTCATTTTTCGACCCTAAATGGTCCAAAACAATTACACAAATGGCGAGACTTTGCTGCTTTTGCTGTTCGTTTATCATCCGAAATGTAATATATTTGGATATTGAAAAGAAAACTAATAATAATATGCAGATTAATTTAAAAAAATGTAATAGTTTTGTGAGCTGCTCTTTCAACGTCCTGAGATCATTAAAAAAATACGTTATAGGAGGAAAAAACATGTCAATGGCAAAATAATTATAAGTTAAAGTTCTCTATTCATTCGCTCCTTCATTCTGTTATGAAACACTTATTAGATTCTGTGTAACGTGCACCTTCCACTGATATAATCATCTCTGATTCATTAACAATAAACGTCCATAAATCTGCTTAGAAACCATAAAGGGATTCGTCCCGTTAGAGGTTTTCTTCAGTGATCCAGTGACGGTAGTTCATACATCCACAGGTACACTGATTACACATAACAGATGATTCTGCATCATTTATATGGTCCCAAAAAGCCAAAATATAACCAACAACCGTTAACATCCCAAAAGGAGAAGCTTACTGAATATAGATGTTAAAACATAAATAATCTGAGGTTATAATCCAGACGAAACCTTCAGAAGTTCACTAAGATCCGGCTTCATGTGGCGTCCGTCAGATTCTAGTTTGTTTTATATAAATCATGTTTTTGTTGAACAGGTTATTTAATAGTTGTAAATATCAGTGTTTCCTTCTGTAGATATTTCTCTTTGTCTTTGTCACCTTTTTATATTTTTTTATTTCTTTGTCTTTTGATCTTTTGACAACAAAAAGAATAAACAAACTAAAAAAAGAGTAAAAGTTTATGTAATAAAGCGACTCGGAGGGTAAAAACAGACGGCTGGTGTTTTATATTTAGTTCAGTTCATCGGATGTTCTGTCCTGATAAAATATGTTTATGGAAATATAAACTGTTTTTATACAGAATTAACTTTCATTAAGTTTCAGCTTTTAGTTTAAATGTCTAAAATAAACCATCTCAGAGAAGATCATGAAAACAAGACAATCTTCTTCTTTTTACTTGTAAAATAACGTTTGACTTCCTGTTTTAGAAATGTTTCTAATTTTATTTTTTTCAAAACAAAAGCCTGTTTTCTAATCTTGTTTTTTTTTGCCTCTCGCGTATCGAATCTAACAACTTAAACAGAGTCACTCCAACAGTTTTACACATCAAGACCAGTTTCCTCGGCATCATGGGAAATGTAGGATCTTGTGTGGCTCAGAATATCTCTGCAGCACATTCTACTCTTTTTATTTCTATGCGTATCTTTAGGTTTTTACACTTGATGGCGGAGAAACACTGAATTGTTGGACTGGCCCTTTAAGAGAAAACCATAAAACACTAAGTTTGACAATCAAAGAAATAAAAACTTTTACTTTTAGAAAAAGAACTTCCTGAATATTTTGTATTTGATAATAAAATGTGTAAAAATCAAGATTCAGTAAAATAAAAGTTAATTGTTATTTTTAATCTTAAATCTTAACAGTTTTTACATCAACAAATAATCACAGAACTCGTGATTTGTAGTTTTGACTCTTAATTATACAGACGAGATGTAACACGTTGATCATCAGTGAGACTTTGTTACCTTTGACCTGAGCCACGCTAGCTGTTTCCCTCCGTTTCCAGTCTTTATGCTAAGCTAAGCAGCACTGTTCCTACTGACTTTAAACTCTTTATTTCTGGCTCTGGTTTCTATTTTCATGTTTTATTTGTGGAGCTCTTCGTCGTCGTCGTCCCGCTGAACTGCAAATCTGGAAAAGAATATATAAAAATGCTTTTTTATTTTTGTCATTTTTTATACTGATTGATTGAATTTGTTACTTTTTCTGTAAAGAAATAAAGATTAAAAAAAAAGTGGACATGAAGTTAAATGTTGAAGAGAGCGACTGAGAGACAGATGAAAACATCTGTTTCCTGATTTAAATAAATGTTTTGGGCAATAATTCTCCTCTGGTTGGTGGTTTTTAACTGTCTACTTCCTGTTTAAAACATTGGTTATTATTATACATTTACTGTCAGTTATTTTCCTCAATAAATCTAATTTGTTTGGGTCATAAAATGTCCAAAATATTTAGAAAAGTTAATTAATATTGTCGCGGGGCACTGGAGCCGATCCCAGCTGACATTGGGCGAAGGCAGGGTACACCCTGAACAGGATAAGCGGTTTGGATAATGAATGAATGAATGAATTAATATTGTTTAGAAGACAAAGCAGAAAACCTGCAAAGATTCACTTTTTTATTAAATAAAATAACTTGAACGCAGACAGAATATCAAAACTGCATTTTGTGTTTACTTGTGTTATCTTTGTCTAATATTTAAATTTGTTTGATGATCTGAAACATTTAAGTGTGACAAACATGCAAAAAAAATAAGAAATCAGGAAGGGGGCAAACACACACACACAGTTGTGTGAAAAAGTGTGTGTGTGTGTGTGTGTGTGTGTGTGTGTGTGTGTGTGTGTGTGTGTG